CCCCCCCCCCCCCCCCCCCCCCCCCCCCCCCTTCCACAGCTGCCCCTGTCAACATATAACACCATATATATTAAACAGTTTTACAAGGTGGATTTTATGCACAATGAAAAGTGATTGTTTGAGGTAGCCTTAGGGATACTTTATTCTACAAGCAAGGAGGGGGAAAACACAGTCGAGAGCTAGCAAGAGAGCGCGCCTACGTATCAAGTATGGTTTTTACAGGACTTGCAGCCTGAAGGCCTTTGTAAATAAATAATGATCAACAGATTGGCTCTGGGCTTTTGAAAAGCATGCCTTTGTCAGTTTGCATGATGGGGAAAATTTTCAAAGCAAGAGGCTGCCTTCGTAGTCTGGCAGAGAGGGATTGGGGGAGCAGGCCCATCCCCAGTTTGTGACTGCAGAGTGATACACTGGAATAACTCAACTCTGTTTGAAATATATACTGAGGGAGGGAGGAAGAAAGAGAGAGGGTGAGACACTGGAGTGAGACATGCTGTAAGGGAAATATTTGTCCCACATAAAAGTGCATCAGATACAATACTGTATTGCACCCAGGGAAAATGTTTGCTTTGCAATTTGAACTGTGAATTTATTCCATTTTGAAATCTAGTGAATGTATTTTGGTGGGGTAACTTCTAATAAAAGATATACTTCCCAAGAAATCAATACAAATTCAAATTAGACATTGCATTTTGTTTTAAATGTATTTAGCAACTGATATCTGTGTAATATTTTTAAACACTATGGGTGACATTTAATCCCACTTTGCATCCTGGCTGACCTATCCCTACCATGGCTGTGTTGTTAATGTCCCAGTTGCCAGTACGACATGTCACCATGCTAACGAGCTGCACTGCCACCATGGCATTAACACCATTCCCACGAACCTTTTTGACGGGTCATGACTGACGACATGCGTTCTATCGCAGAAGATGTCACAATATCATCTGCAGCTGATATCCCTTGGGCGTGGCACTGTGGCACAGGCGTCATGTCTGCTCTCCCTTAGTCTTGTGGTAGGTTCAACCCGAGGCAGGGAAAAGGCAGAGGGAGAAGGAGGTGTGTGTGGAGCCTGTGACAGGCTGCCAGTCACATCGCTGACAGCTCTGTGAAAGATAGCTGTCTTGGCAGAGAGAGCTGGAGCGGCAGCCCGCCTGCATGCGGCAGTCAGCCCCTGTGTGGAGGCGAGCAGAGCTGAGCAGATTGAAGTGACGGGGGCTCTGTGGAGTTGATTGGCGCAAACACGCGGCTCTGGATGAAAGATTCAGGCTGAGTGTAAAAACACTAAATGCTGTCAGTGTTATTATCACCTGCACTAACTGATAGAGGGAAGAGAGGTGGAGAGAGAGAGAGAGAGTGGCTAATTGACAGTTTTTTGTTTTTTTTTGTAACTTTTCCTGCATTGGTATGCAACTCAAATGCAGGTTGAGGGAAGAGACACCATCAAAGCCTTGTCAGTGAATGACAGTGTTGATAGAGGATAGAGAGAGTGATACTGAGAGAGATGTATGTCAAATTCTTGGGATGTTTTCTCCCATATTACTCAAATGTCTCTCTCTCTCTCTGCTGTTGCCTGTTTTTGGAGTCTGTATAGCGCTGCTTCAACCAAGGATTTCATTATTTGGGTTGAATTGCAAATAACAATTGCATTGCTAGAAAACAAGCAGTGTTTTTTGAGGAACGACACTAAAATGTCTACAGGTTATCCTGACTCAGTGGTTTGCATGAAATTTTATGGATTGTGAGAAGATGTCCTGTAGGATAAATGCAAAGAACAAGAGAGGCGGTATAACAGGAATGTCAGGAGCCCTTTCATGGTCAGTGTTTCACCGGATAAAACTCAGCAGCCCACTGCTGTGGATTAGCCTGTTTGGTTGTGACATGCTGCTGAAACATTAATGGCCATCAGTTGGGAAAGCAAAATGTGATTGGGCAAATTCCTGAAATATTTAAAGTGTGAGCCTGTTGGAGCTTTTACTATTTGCGCCGTATGGCGTCAGAAGCTGGAGGAGAGGGTAAAAGCTGGTAATTGGCCTTGTGTTGTCATGCCATTCAGTCAGTAGCACTCAAGTCTCGCTGTTCTCTGCACCACTGTGAGCACCAGGGTCTTTTGAGTTTTCTGATGACTTGACATCAAGGACAAGAAGGAATGGAGGAATAATATGGTAGTTATGGGACCTACAGTATGTAGTGCAGTAGAAAGTCCAACACTCATGCGATGGACTTTTGACACATTGTATATATACTGTATATATAGACGGTGTAGATCTCAAGAAACCCAGGTGGTCTTTTGTCTCTTTCATGTTACCACTGCAGTCATTTAACAAAATGGTCTAACATAAATAAATTGTTCTGTTTTCCCAGTCGACACGACCCCCTTCTCGTTCCTGGAAATGAACAAATCGAGAGCATGGACATGAGCGTGAAGAGGTATGACTCGACAGGGATGTTTCACTGGTGCCCATCAAAAGACATCGAAAAAGTCATCCTGGTGAGTGGGACGATAACTGCGTAGCTGCAACACCTCTAAAATATAATAAAATATGCAATAAAACAAAGTTAAAGTAAGTATGGTCAGGAGCCAAAGTTTCCCCTCAATATTGTAGTAACACAATCACAAACTAATGTGCAATGAAATTTCTCTCACTGCCTCTCTGTTGTTTCAAGGTGAGTTTATTGATTTTTTTTTATATATCCGCCAAGGATCTGTGAACAGTATTTCAACACAGCACGCATGGGTTTGCTCAGATTTTCTAACAAGGCAGTTTGTAAGCATTTATGTCAGTGCACAATTTGTTTGGGGAGGGTTAACCCTGTCTAAATCAAATGTAACAGAGAAGACGCATTCATCTACAGTATATAGTTCATATTTATTTGTTGCTTTAATTAATTTAAGGGGGGGGCTGAAGGATGTTCCTGCATGAGATGGGTGACCAAAAGAATTCTAGACATGCAGATAATCGAAAATGTTTAATCCACCAGATCACTAGCTGAGAGTATGAGTAACGTTGCAGCAGTGGGTCCTTGCTTGTCTCAGTTGTACCGTATGTCTCCAGTAAACAAAGAAACAGTTTTAGTTTCAAACCCACTGGGATCATAGTAGCATTTAGTTTAGTTAACGTACATTCAAACTTGCAATCAAATGCACATCAAGCCGCTGTGACAGGCGACAGATCTTGAAAGCAGGGCATTGCATTGTTATTTTTCAACTCAAATGTCATACAATAGAGAAGTTTTGTTTATTTATACCTCTCTGATTTATGACAGGGTCCTAGTCATACATACTGTATGTGCCTAAAATCTTACAAACTGCATTTTTCAGCCTGATTGAATCAGTTGTCCTTTCAGAAAAGACCACATGTTATGTTTTTGTTCTGTAAACTTCCTATTTCTGGTTATCCAATAAACTGTTTATAAACAGAATAGTGGTTAACCAAACTTGTGTACATGTGTAAATAGTAAACCCTGTTATTATGATGGTTTTTATGTTGGATTAAATATAGAATTCAGCAAATACTTGGTTAACAAACTATTTAATATGGGTTTATAACAGTTTATAACTCTTAAACGCGCCTGGATCTAGAATGTTTTACTTTATTTACACTTCCCAGTTTTATGTCGATAGCACTTTCTCTAAATATGTGTTTGTCTTTGTGAGTGTCTTCCTCTCTTCTCTGTCTGCACTCCTCCTCATCCCTCTCTCTCTGCTCTTCTCCCCGTTCCCTGTATCCCTCTGTTCCCTGCAGACCCGGAGTGAAGCCTCCATGACAGTGCTGAGCGGCCATGTGGTGGTCTGTATATTTGGGGATGTCACGTCCGCTTTGGTGGGGCTGCGAAACTTGGTGATGCCTTTAAGAGCCAGCAATTTCCATTACCACGAGCTAAAGCCGATAGTTTTTGTGGGCTCGCTGGATTACCTGCGGAGAGAGTGGGAGACTTTACACAACTTCCCCAAGGTCTCCATCTTACCTGTGAGTGTACCAGTTCACTGCCGTAGAAGATGCATTTAAACCGGATCCTCTGTTCAACTAACAAGGCATTGACATTTTGAGATACATGCACATTCTGTGTCCTGAAGAGGGATTGTCAGTTTGATTTGATCACACATTACTCAATTGAATGATCACTCCATGAGAGCGTAGCCAGCCCCCCCTCTCATCCAGAGCAGTGACACATCCTGCACAACCAAAATGGAGTTTATGTGTGTTGCAGCTGCAGTGCCCATCACAGATGGCGTGGCTTGCTGCCTTAGAGCTTGTTAGGCCTGGCTTGACTGATGATCAGAGGAGAATCCCAAACACAGCCCTCAGCGAGGGCTAGCCTTTAGAAAGTCCATGTATCTGATTCTCCAATGCCCAGTTAGATCAGTGGAATGTCATCGCCTCAAAACAAGAATACTTGTTAACTAATTTCCCAAAGCTCCACTCTGCTCACTTCTTAAATTTGTTTTTCTCTCCCCTATGTCTGTCTGTTCTCTGCGTTTTGCCTTCTTTCTCTCTCCGTCTTGCTTTTTCTCTCTGTTCTCCTCACCCTGAAGGGTACGCCATTAAGTCGGGCAGATTTAAGGGCTGTCAACATCAACCTCTGCGACATGTGCGTAATACTGTCAGCCAATCAGAACAATATCGAAGATACCTCACTGCAGGATAAGGAATGCATCTTGGCGTCGCTCAACATCAAATCTATGCAGTTTGATGACAGCATTGGGGTCTTGCAGGCTAATTCCCAAGGTAAGGAGTGTCCTATTACTCTCCATGTGCACTGCTGCCCAAAGGGGACAGGGGGTGGGTGGGTTGAATGGAGTTTGTCATGCACAGTGTCTGCCAAGTACTCTATGACTGACTTACTGAAGAAGTGTACACACAAACATAGTGTTAAATGCTTCATCAAGCCTTTGAAAATTGTTTACTACACATGATTTTCTGATGATTTCAGTCTTGTCCCTGGTAATTACATGCTGCTAAACCTCCTTGATAATACTTTTTAATGATGTAATCAACATGACTGTGTCATTCGATGTTGTTCCCCCTGATCTGGTGTCTGGCAGATCGTCTGGAACAGATTGTTGATGTTTGCAGACAAACACACGAACCTGGCATCCCATCAGGCCTCATCATCATTAAGCAGCCAGTACAAATCACCAGGCAGGCCAATTCAGCTGCTCCTCATTAGTCACAACAAAACAGCAACATATTCGTGTTTGAATGCGTGTGCAGTGCACGGGTGTGCAGTGCACATGCAGACATCCGTGTCAATGCGATCTATCCACACACATCCACAAACAGGTAATCCTCAGGTTATGATTAGACCAAAAGGCATGACATGCCTTGAGCTCAGTACTATTTAATGCCACCACTGTGACTGTTGTAAATACAAATCAAAGTTGAAGGTCCAAGAGGCCATTATTTTTTAGTGCAGAGCACTTCCACATGTTTTAGGAGAATGCCAATGCTGTTATTTCTCCAGCCTTGAGTGAGTGATGTGCTATCGATAGCGGTGCCACCGAGGAACAATAAGCAGGGGTAAATCTTGGAGCACGCCACTCTGGGGAGCAGTATTCACAGAAAGCCACCTCAATATGGAAACCCCCTAGCCTATACCCTCTCCCAGGGTCGATGGATGGAGCCTATTGTCATCAATAATTGGGTCTTACATCAACCACCCATTTCAGTGATAAATACTTCACTTTAGAAAACACACACACACGCACACGCCAGAGTGACATGCAATCATGCATGCACAAGGAAACACAAGCACATACTGTAGATATTGCTATTGTATCATAGGTATTGCTTTGGGGATTTCTTCCTCCTACCGATGCTCCCATTCAGACAGTCTGTGGAATTTAAAACAAGAAGGTGCAAATGAATAAGTAAACATGCGCTTTCCTGGGGGAGAGCTTCTCACGGCTGCTGTAGCATGTAGTCAACCACAGAGCATAGCGGTGCCCGGGGGGCTACAGGGATAAGGGGGTATGTAACCCAGATCTCACTTGCCTATTGTACATTGTAGCAGGACAGACAATGTTACAGCCTCACAGTAGCAGCTTGTCAGAAGAGGAAACGTAGTGTGTGGGATCAGGCATGTTGTTCAAACTCTGGCTTCTCTATTTTTAGCAATAAGGAACTTGTATGCTAATTGTCTAAAAGTATGTAACAATTATGACGGCCAATTAGAAAAAAAAAAAAAAAAGTAAAAATGTCCTAACGGTTTAAATTAAGGAATAATTGCAATAAGCCATACAGGAATATTGTATGTCATAGACACATTTTTAGAGGAGCTAAACATATTTTAGCTCCTCTGGTTTTGCAGTAATCTAACTCTGTCTGAGGAAGACATACCGCTCTCTGTTTGGAGCTCACCAACTCACATTGCAACTTTTGAGCTGTTTGTAACCTAACAGGTTTTGAAAGCAACTCAGCAGCAGGCCTCATATATTGCTGTTCTCAACAACAGTCGCTTTCTGCTGTACACGCCGTGCAAAACGTAAGCTATTCTTCTAGATCTCTGGGCTGTCTTCATGTTCACTGTGATACAATAAGAGCAGTGTTATAGAGGCTGTATCCAAAAACTTGCTGTCACTCTCCAGTTGAGTGAACATCATCCTTTATGGACATCGACAAAATGATGTTCGCATTGTCTGAGCTCGTGCTCCCTGGTTGACTTGAAGTGTCAAACCTCTGCTATTTTCAAGTTCAATAATTGGTATAACAAGAGTTATGATTATCCATGCTTCAGTTCAGTGTGTGCTTCCTGCTGTGTACTAAACCATTTGGTGTCTTTTCTGTTGCAAAGGGCCGGAAGATCTCTTTTGTAATGTCAGCAGCTCATTGAGTTTCTTGACAGGAAAGGCACACACACTCTCACATACGTGGAGAATTTGCAATCCTTTTAAAACTTTGTGACCTGAATATATTCCCTGCATTATGTTTCCTTGGTGGTGGCACTATAAGCTGGCATTTTGCTGTAGTCAGCACTAAATGATGGATGTCAAAACACAGTTGATGCATTATGCATATAGCATCACAGTGTTTACGTGTCACTTTGAGGAAATGCAAAAATGTGAAGTCATGTGAAGTCATCCTCCTGTCACTTGCACTTGTATTTCATGATCCTGAGCCACGCCATTTCCGATAAAAGGTTTTCAGGATCCACTTCACCAATTTTATTGTGACAAAATGAACAACATATAAAATTTATGCCTGCCCCTTGATGGAGGGATGTGAATGCTAAATATGTCTTAGCTGACCCCTGAAAGCACACTATCCGTATTGCAATTTTAGGCAGCTGCCTTGTTCACTTAGCCTTCTCCTCCTTCTTCCTTCTTTCAGTCAGTCCACACATTTGAACATCAACAACTTCATGCTGACTGAGCTGACATGCACTATGTATAATGGTATTAATACTGAGTTCCAGTTCACATCCACATGCTTAGGATACATCTGCAGTAAACACACGTATCAGACATGCAGGTTTTTGCTTGGATTGTATTTTTTTTTCCCTTGAAAAATCTGTATACAGTACTGTCCACAAAGTCAACACGGAGGAAAACATGTAAAAATACAAGATAGTAGACATCTTTTCATCTGATTCTTCAATTATTCTTCCATAGAAATGCATAAATTCACGTCCGATTTGCAGAGGGCTAACTACCAAACAGTAAAGAACTACATCAAGTTAAAACTAGCTCAGCTAGCTTTAGCCAAAGCTAAACCTGCTTGAGTTTCCCCCAACTGTTATTAAAATATCCATTTTGATGAACTGACATCTTGGTATTTCAGTTAGTTCATCCATTTTAGGTATTATGTATGGTTCTCTGGCAATAGATTTTTGGGGTATAAAAAGGCAAAAGATGGCGTTACAAGCTTTACGTCTGTTGCACATGTTGTGACCAGGCTGGAAAACCCTTTGTTCTCAACCCCACTGCTTTCTTGAATTACTGTTCTCTGCCTTTGTCAGGCCGAGGATATCGCTTAATGCCACCCTGTTATGTCATTTTCTGATCTCTATAAATCTGTTTTTTTGGTGTTCAGGTTTCACGCCTCCTGGAATGGACCGGTCATCTCCAGACAGCAGTCCAGTACATGGCTTTGTGCGTCAGGCTTCTGTCACCACCGGATCCAACATCCCCATCATCACAGAACTAGGTAATGCTGTTTACAACCACCTCAAATGCAAATATTGCATGCCATACCCAATAACCTCAGATCAAGTCATTACTCATTGGCAAACATAGACACATAGAGCTGATAATCCAAGACTTAAAAATCATGCTGCTACCAAAAGTTCCAACTCATTCAAAGGTCAAATGGACTTGAGGAATGTGTGGTGTAGATTTATTTATTTTTTTCCCCCTCATAGCGCTGGCAGCTATGCCCAACTCAAGTTTCTATTCGTATGTGAATTATTGGATCTGGCATTTGTCAATTGGTGATAATGTTAGCTGCAAGGACTGGAATATATCGTTGCTCAGAGGACAGTGTGGACAACTGTGACTTAAGGATGTCAGACAGGCATTTAGAAGACTATAGCTAAATGTCCTGCATTTGTCCACTAATGCACAAGATAAATGTAGCCTGATGGAGAGGGTGGGAGAGGTGGAAGGGGAAGAAAGTGAAAAGGTAGATGGGGGGGGAAAAATGCCTTGGTTGCAAAATGGGTCCATTTATTAATAACAATGGCAGTGGCTGTATTCCCACTGGTGTTGGGGACTCATGAAACTTTCAGATCTCTGAGGGGCCTTCTAAAGCACCAGAGACTGGCTACTCTGTCTCCCCTGACCCAATTAGGGAGCAATGGAGCATGAGGCCAGCTAAGAAAAGTCCAGAAAGAGAAAAGAGCTACCTAAGTATACTTGTAACCGCGCCAACCATTACCTGCAGAGAGGCTATCCTATTAGACTGTTGACTGCATACGTAATCATCAAGACTAGATGCCACACATGTTGGAGTCATTGGTTGCCGTCCTGGACTCTAGAAGCTCCAGTGTTATGTGCAAAGGAGAGAGTGGCTGCATGTCTCACTGGAACCAAACACTGTGATTACATTGTCATATGTTCAGTTTACGGTGCCAGGAGCAGCTTAAAGTCTTGTTGGAACGTTAAAACACAGCTCTTTTGAGTTGCATGATCAATTTTGTTTGCATAGAGTGCAAAGTAGGTGTGTTTATGGATAAGACCATGTTTATCCCTTTCACTGTTTTACCGTGAAATAATGTATTGTTGTTGTATTGGTACAGCAGCGTGACAGCTCTGGCTACTGTGCACTGTAATGTGCACTTTAATCCAGGGTACCCTACTTTTAGATACCGGACAACGATGAATGTCTCGGAGTAAATCCCGGTGATGACAAGAGTGGTCTGAAACGGCGAAATGCCTTTATTGCAGTCTTTGAAACTGTTTCAATAACAACACCATGCACTGTCTCATCACCATTAGCTAAACCTGGCAAACTACTGCCATTGGTTTCACTCAGTCAGGAAAACAAAAGTGGAACCAACATAGAAATAATAACAGAGCCGGGTAAGCCGAGCCTTTGTCCTCTGCTGCCGTTCGTTCCCTCGCGCCGCCACTCTGCTCCTCATCAGCATGTCTTGATTTATCTGGCTGCAGTCAAGGCCCTCGGTTCTCCCATGGCTTCACTTTGAACACATTTTTATTCTTAGTTCTGGTTGAAATTGATTGTCTTGTTTTGGCCCCTTTTTAATGTATTTTTTTAGTTGTTGTTGTTTTGGGGTGATTTTTTTCCCCCTCCAGTTGTATTTGCAGAGCATCGCTAGGCTTTTGATCATGCTCAGTCTGTCCTTGTGGCTGTTTTCATAGCAACACTGCCCTGCCCCTCACCCCCCTCTTCCTCTTCCTCCTCCAAACACACACACATGCCCCCCCCTCCCCCCGTTTCACTCCTTTGGCCCAGGCCTGTTTGCATCAGCCCCTTGTCTCTTTGACTGACATTTTTGTTCCACAGCGCACTGGAAGCCTGGGAAGAAATCTGATTTGGAAAACACAAAAACTTGAGATCAAACCATCTTTTTAAGCTGTATTTTTTAAATTTATTTTCCAGTTTCTTTGTTTCTCCTCCAGACCATATCTCTGAAGCTCAGATATCGGAGGAGTCAAACTAGAACTTGTGTGATGCTCGTTTTCCAAGTAACGCTCGTTAATAGACCCTCCACTGCTCACTGCTGCTAAAAACAGAATCTGAGTAAAAAGGCACACACTACAGGGAGCACTTTGAGTTTTTTACTGTACCAATTGTTTAATACACCAGAGACAAAAAAACATGTCTTATATCAGTTGTGGGCGATTTTCATTTACACTGTACCATTTAGTCTATTTAGCAGACCTAGTTTGTTTTATTAGTGTGAGATAAAAACAAAAAAAATGTGTTTAATTTGACTTTCAGGGCAAAGGTAAATATTTGCGATGTATTTTTCTGAGGGTGATGATGTGACGATTGCATTCATCGTGGAAAACTCTGAAAAAAATAGCATGAATTTAAAAGTGCATGATTTTCTCATGTGACACATTAGCCATTGTTGAAGTCTCAATTTTTTACCATATTTACTGTATAAATCAAGAAATATCTAAAGTAACCAGTTTATACTTAAAACAGACTACACAGTCCACAGACTGGTCACTGTCTCTTGAATGAGTGTGTGTCTGTTTGTGTGTGTTACAATGTATCAAGATACAGTGGCTACTGAGGTACTAATGCCTTATGCAGGATAGATGTATGCTTTATTCAGAATTGGTGACTTCTACAATGGTTATGACTGTGTATGCATAGTATAATATATTTTCTCCTTGAGTCATAGTTTGTCTTAATGTATGAAATGCACCCTGCATGTGGTATACAGTGGATTTGATATTCAAAATGCTGAATCATTTTTCCCAAAAAAAATCAAAAACTCTTTTTTTCACCTCTGGAAAATAAATAAAGTTCTTGTTGTTAAAAATATGTGCAGAAATGTAAAAGTAAAATATAATGTGCATCTAATGTTACATTATATTGCAAACCTGGATACCTATACACCTAAGACATTTCTGTTACATTACAATGATATATCCAAATGTAACTTAAATAAACGAAGACTTATTCATTTCTCAACTCTCTGGTGTGTTGATGACTACGCGTGTTTGGCTTATGCCTCTTCTCAGTGCCCGTCTCTAACTCCCTCCCCCCCCCCCCCCTCTCAGTGAACGACTCAAACGTTCAGTTCCTGGACCAAGATGATGATGACGACCCAGACACAGAGCTGTACCTCACTCAGCCCTTCGCCTGCGGCACCGCCTTTGCTGTCAGTGTACTCGACTCCCTGATGAGCGCAGTGAGTTCTCAAACACACTTTTTACACTCTCGGTATTGGTGTGTTTTTCAAAATCACTTTTCAAAATCATACATTTTGCAACACATTTTTATAATCTTTATGTCCTGTGTTTGGATGCTATAACTGAGTCTTACTCAGAATTTAAAAAAGAGCAAGTAGAGAGAAGTTTCACATAAAGTACTTGGAGATGCGGCGCCCACTGGTAAACAATTGCATGTCGTTGCAATGGTAGAAACTTCGAGATGAGGGAAAGAGGTGAGCAACTTCGAAGTGAGTCAGACTCGAAAGATGGACCTGGGAAAACTTTAGAAGTTAGTGCACCTAAATCTAGCACTTTTTTCTACTTCTTGTTGCTTCTTTGATGGTTATAATTTGTCTACTCTGTTGTTTCATTCAATATTCATTCAAATAATCAAAAGTTGATCATAACAAATGAAAACTATCAGATTTAGCAGTAAAAAGTAGCTAAAGTCAGACTGGGAGATTAAATGCTTCCCCAGTAGAGAAAAGGAGGGTGAATTTAGCAATGAGTTTCATTAGATGCAAGAATTTGGCATTTCAAGAAGGCAGAAGTTGGTAAATGAAATGGTACAGTATATTCATCAAACATGCTTGCCAGGTCCACTGACGGCAAAATGTAAATTGTTGGCATCACGCCTCATCTTAAGTGTTATGAATTCAACTTTCAAGAGCTTTATGAGATCTTTTAACAAAGTAAGTGTTGAAGGTTAGTGTAATAGCGATGACACGGGCTGTAAGAGGCCAGAAACACAATGTCTTTGCTGCACTCATAGGAGATAAGGTAAAGAAGGTGGTTAGAAAGAAATTCTCATAAACCCCTCCCTCTCCCTCTCCCTCTCATGACCAACTGTGGTTTCCCTTCAGTGCTGTGATGGCTTAATTCCAGCAGCCCTCTCAGTGAGTTAGGGGTTAGAGAGGCATGCAGAGCCGAGTTGAGCGGGGAGTAGAGCAGGCGTCAGCTGTAGTCTGGCAATGGTCAGAGGTGAAGCCAGCTAATGGACAGTGCTCATCCATCATGAGGCTCTGCAGGCTTGTCAGGGGCCCAGGGAGAGGAGCTGCCACTCTGGCCCGGCTGCCGAGTGACATCGGCTGTCTTCACACGTGGCGAAAGCAGGTCCTGATTGGCTTGAAGGACAAGAGAACCTGACGCCCGCAGAGCGCAGTCAAATCGTTGTTTCAGAAGCAGACATCCTACAGTGTGCGGATCAGTGTTTCTAGAGGAAAGAATAGTGCTATGTTAAAGTACCTCTTTTGTTTAATGTGATGATCCAACATGTGCTATGATTATCAAAATGTTTCTATGTCTCTCTCAAATATGAAACATTTATGTATATTAAACCTTAACCTTATGAGATCATTTTTATAGTCAACAGCATCATTTCTTTTTTCTTTTTCTTTTTTACTGTGTCTGGGTTTTCCACGGTAGCTATTGCTTCTGTAGAAAGCAGGCCCAACAAAAACTTAACACAGCGATGTATGTGTATTATCCAAAGTGACAGGAATGCTGATCCTGCAAAGAAAGTTACATTTTTCGTGCATAATTAATCATTGTTAAAAATACCAACAGAATTCCATTCACATCCGTTTTATTTGGTGAACTAGACAGAGAGTCCTCTGTAGTCTTCTATGGCTTTTCCCCTCAGCTTCCATTCAGAGACAGGCTGAGGGTTGACATAATAGGCTGTGCTTCCTACATCTGCCACCCTGCTACTTGTGACTCTAATGGCATCTGCTTACAGATATCCCCTGTACTTTGTCCCCAGACATACTTCAACGATAACATCCTTACGCTGATTCGGACACTGGTTACAGGGGGAGCCACACCAGAGCTGGAGGCCCTGTTGGCTGAGGAGAACGCCCTCAGAGGCGGCTACAGCACACCTCAGACACTGGCAAATAGAGACAGGTGTCGCGTCGCCCAGCTAGCCCTCTACGACGGGCCATTTGCTGACTTGGGGGTAAGTGGATGTTTAAGCGAAGATGACACGTTTTGGCACTACCCAGCAGCACACATCTGGCCGCCTCCGCTCCTCGCGGCCCTTAATCCGATGTGAAGAACAGTGATCACGCAAAGCAGGTCTTAGTGGGTGGAGAGGGGAGAGGACTCTAGAAAGAACAATGAACACCTCCAAGTTTATTTGGTTCCAATCTTGTTTTTACAGGTTGTTGTCATTGTTATTCCGAACCTTCAATACCAAAGTCATTTTGTTTTTTTCTTTGATGAATTATGGCATAATTTTAAAACATTGAGGAATACCCTCAGCAATGCAGAACACTGAATATTCACTACAACTTTACAGAGAACAACGTTTACTGTCACTGATCCAGATCATCAGGCTGACCTACTCACTAACTGATGGTGTCTTTGTTCTGTTCATCAGGATGGAGGCTGCTACGGGGATTTATTCTGTAAAGCACTGAAGACGTACAACATGTTGTGTTTTGGAATCTACAGATTAAGAGACGCTCACTTAAATGCACCGAGCCCGTGTACAAAACGGTACAATTTCTGCCTTCACTCCATGTCAAAATGAATATTTAATATTTAATGTAATAAAATGACAATTAGGGTTATTGATAGAGTACTTTATTTGCTGCTTCCCTACAAGGATTATAAACATTTAATCTTGTCTAACATTTGTTTTCTGGGCAGGTATGTGATCACGAACCCACCCTATGAGTTTGAGCTCGTGCCCACAGACCTGATCTTCTGCCTCATGCAGTTTGACCACAATGCAGGCCAGTCCCGGACAAACTTGTCCCACTCTTCCCACTCTTCCCATTCCTCCAGCAAAAAGAGCTCCTCCGTCCACTCCATCCCGCCCTCCAACCGGCAAAACCGCAGCAGTAAGAGCCGGGAGGCCCGTGATAAACAGAAGTATGTGCATTCACCTGTCACCTGAGTTTTAGTCTGCATGCTTAGTGTTTTAAACCTGACATGTGTCCCTTTTTTTATTATGCAGACTGTGGTGACACATTCATTTATAAGTGCTGTGTGTTTGTGGTTTGTTTGTGTGATTTGTGCTCTGTGTCCATGCTCAGTGTTTGTGCGTTTCCTTCATAATCATCTGCATGTGGTATTCACTCTCACATCACAGCAATCATAATGTGACATGAGCAAAATGGTTAAACTCGCTTTGTGGAAAACTCATTTATTGTAGTCAAAGACTGTAGAGAGTCTTTTTTTTTTTACTCATTTAGTCAGTGGCATTGTAAACTGAAAACCACTTGGATGGCACAGCCATTGTGGTTGGAAACAAGCTTACAGTAAAGGTCTCAGCCACAGCCAATTCACATAATACAACACACATTCAGTATGCTGTGTGGTCTACCTGCTGTACTGTCTTAATATTTGTGTAGTGTTTAACTGTTGTCTGTTGGATATTTGTGCACATTTAACTGACATGATCATTATGCATCGATCATGGATGATTTGTTATTCACGTACTGGAGCTGATATGGATTATAAGGCACATTTGACGAACATTACTGATAAGCTGTTACTCATAACATCATCCCTTATTAGCAGTGTTGATGTTTTGTTGGTGCATCTATAATGCTTTATTGCATGTCCATATTGGTAGCACTCTTTCCTGTTCTGTTTATTATACAATTATAAGATTACTTCAAATTTGGCGACATTTGACCCACATGTTATATATTCCATACCCCCCCACCAAAAAAAACTAAAATAATTAAACATATATATGAATAAATATGAATTTTGAAATTGTGACATATTCTAAAAGCATGCAGATTTGCTATGATCGTACTCAAGAATTTTTAAATGGTAGATGATAAGCCCTCAATACATCTTATAGCTAAGATGTATGATATAGCCTAAATACTGCAGTGGTAACAATATTTAAGCCTTAGTTGTCAGATGTGTATTGACTGTAAATACTACTCACTTACAGTAGATTACTTACCTCTCTTTCTGAAGTGCAACAAGGATGAATAGAATGGGCCAAGGTATGCAAGTTAACGATTCTGCATGACTTAGCAACCTATCCTGGGGTTCTGATCATAACTATGTCCTCTGGATATTGTTATGACGAGGGGAGTTTGTTTTATTTATTACGTTCTTCGGATGTTAAGTAAACCATGCCTCAGTTTAAGTTTTGCTTTCATCTGGATAGCAAAATGTCTGCTGCTGCTCCTACCTGATCCATGATCAGGACCATCTCCACCTTGCATGAGGTTGAGACACAACCCCCCTTTTCTTTGTGCTTTTACTCAGTTATTCACATGATGATATGAATTTTCTTTTCGTCCTGGCGAATCCCTTTTAACATTGTTTCTTCCTGTCATTTATCATGCGTTTTTATGATTTCTTTCAACTTGAGATGGTTTGCATTGTGTGAGAGGTCTGTGTGTTTGTGCATCTTCCCTCCTATTGAATGCTAACAGATGACTGTAGCAGACATTTAGGGTGATTTCACGCCTATCCTGTTTGGTTCAGTTGAAACAAACTCAGGTCTGTCTGCCTGGTTGGTACAGTTTGTTTGGGCCGGTGTGAAACCCTGGTGCGGAACAAAAAAACAAACCATGACAAGTCAGTCACTGGAATTTGGTTATCAAATTAATCCAATCAATGAGTTACCTGTCAGTCTGTGTTACTTAATGTTCACTCCTCTGGTTCGTTTGTAAAAAGTCAGTGTGAACGGGAACCGGACGAGAACTGAAATGCAGCAATGTATCTTTGTACCCTTGGTCCGGACCAAATTGAACCAAATTGAACCAAACTCACGGTGTGAAAGCACCCTCAAATGTTGTAATTATGCTCTCATTGAGTACCACTAGTTATTGTTGTAACGGCATCAGCATAAATCACAGAGTAACAACATGCTGTCCGACAGTACAAACCCAGATCATAGCTCACATGTAGGTCAGGCTGATTCAAATCCCCCTGATGCAGCCAATTGCTTACTTCTTCACAGAACTTTAAGAAAGTGTGTCCAGCCCTGTGCCATCGGTCACACCAAGAAAGTGGGAGGTGTGACTAATTTAAAGTGTAAATTGAAGGGGGGGTATAAGTTACCTCCTTGTGACCCTGTGCACCTGATATGGTGGTTTGAGGCGACATCACTAAGTTCACCGTATTAGCAGCAGACTCTGGAGAGAGATGGCAGACATCTTGCTTCACCTCAGGCACAATTCTACACATCAAATGTCTGTGCTTTAATGCACGGCCCTACAGCCTTCAGCTTGCTGACACACACTCAAGCTTGCACAAATGAATCTCCACACATGCAAGCCCGAATGTACATGAACACGCATTTACACACTTACACACGCACATACCAGCAGGCACACACAAGGTTTGCTCCACATAGCCAAGGTAAAATTTTATATGACAACTTCACCCGAAAGGAAGTGACATCTTGAATGGCATTGCAGATGGCTATGAAGTGCTAGGAGCGAGTTTACAAACTTCTGACAGCTGGCATACACCTCTCCCTCTCCCCATACCGTGCTCAGAAACAGTGCTCTCATAGCTCACTTAAACATGAAGAGATTATCTTCAAAATGACTTATCCAAATCTCCCAAATCTCTTCCATCCCACATTGGCTACATGAAAGTAAAGCTTCCCATGAAATATGACAGAATATATACCTTTTAAGTTATTAGTCAGCTTAAAGGGTCAGGTCATTTGAATTACAAAAAAAACACACATTCGAAATTAACTCTAGTGGAACCTAGACTTTCAAATATTTAAATTCTTTTTACCCAGGTTTTAGATATTTATGTCTGAGATTTCTGCCTCCACCCCAACATAATGTAAGTGAATGAAGTTTGTGGTGCTCAGAGTATTAAAAAAAAGACATTTACAAAACAAAACAAAACAAAAATCTACTTCAACATCGTTTCCTAGACAGTGTGTCAGAAAGAATGTAAAGATTACACAAATTTGATAGCTGGAGTGTTTAGGGGCAAATAAACTGGAGCAAACAAACAGCTAATGCACGGACTGTACAGACTGTAGTTTGCCAGAAACATATGCACCAATTGCCGCGTGTGTCATCTCACAACTCACAAGACATTCAAGTTCTTTGGATTATTTTCCTCCAGTCTTTCTCCTTTGTCTCTAAACTTCCACAAAATGAAGTCAGAAGCCTGTTTTTGTTGTTGTTTTTTTCAACTTGTGCATGCGTGTCTTCACCTCAGTTTGTGCAGCCCCAGGAGTAATTATGATGATTCCTGCCCTCCACTTGCGTCTTTGCATTGATTTATTAGGCAATTGCACCACTTCTATAATTTCCTTTGCACCTGGTAGATAATCTAGTTTGAAGTAATTTTGGGCCTATTTCCTTCATAGACATCAGTTCCATTGAAAACCTGAGGCACTATTGATGTGAGCACCAAAACTTAAATTTCATTCTCCTTTGTCGTAATGAGATTGAATCAGAAATCTCTCTCAAAACCAGTAAAAAATAAATAAAACTATCTGCGTGGTAACAGGAGAAAGGGGCAAATGTGTTTGTAATATGGGAGACCTGACCCTGAAACACTATAGAGCTGATCAATACCCATAGGATGATATTTGTATTATCTAAAATGGAATACTTAATTACACAGTATATTAGAATTGTGACCTTACTTTCACAACTGTAGTTGATTAAACAATGGCACACCACCATGTCATTGAAATTGGCTCAATGAACCGGAACACAATTTTAGATTGGACCTCATGGTTTGATGCTAATGCCATCCAAATCTACCACTTAATCTGAGGCAGTATGGTTGTTTGTAAAAAGTATTCAACATTGGATTACTATCTAACTCTGTCTTCTCTTCTCCCTCTCTCGCCTTCAGAAAAGAAATGGTTTACAGATGAACCAGAAAATGCCTACCCACGGAACATTCAGATCAAGCCCATGAGCACTCACATGGCCAACCAAGTCAACCAATACAAATCCACTAGTAGTCTGATTCCACCAATCAGAGAAGTTGAAGATGAATGCTGAACACAGCATTTTCTTGCTGACTCACCAGGCATCTATATGCTCTTTCAAAAGAGATGGGAGATCACCCATGGAGGATTGATGATGATGATGATGACAGGGATGTTGAAGACTGATACATTTCTCTTCACTCATTCTTTTAATCAAGGGTTGGACAGAAACCCAAATTGGAAGGGACCTCCTATGTGTATACCTTTAATGTTACTTCCATGCTCTTGGACATTGTTTTATTTATTAATGTATCCATAGTGATGTACATAATGACAATCAACTAAGGATTGTACAGCCCCTTCCCCCTAGCACTTTTTGGAATTATTTTAAGAGTTGACAAAAAAAAAGAGTACTTCCTGTAATTCTTTGCAATAGTTCACCTCATTTTGTAACCAGACTCCATTGCTAAGGTGACTGGTTATTGGAGGATGAGGGTTGCAGCGATAAACTGATCATATCATCTCCCAAAGATCGACCCAGATGCCTCACGTCCAACCAACTGGGTTCACCAACTTCATATCCCCGTCTGCTTCTGTTCTATTTGCACTAAAACTGGACAAGTTTCTTTTGACAGAACAACTGGAACCCTCAGATTCTCCCCCAATAAAATGTCCTTGAGGAGATGAAGAGAGGAAGGGAGGGCTGTTTGGTTTCAGAGGCATACTAATCTTGTTCTTAGGTTGTTATAAATCATGTCATTGCTTAAGGTTTGCTACTTCACCGTTGACTCGTCATGATGAGTGAGAGCATTCCAACCCTGCAGAACAAAATCATCCTGCAAGACAGTGGTCTATAAACACAGAGAATGGTGTACACTGGCTGAAAGAGAACCCTGTACCTAAATATCTTCTGCTGATATGTGAGATCATAAAGTCTGTGACTCTGTTTTAAGCTCCTATTGCATGATATGTGCCTGAGCCACCTCTATTACAGATACAGTGCTGTTGATCAACCTGAGTACATGAGGGTGAAAAACAACTTTCCCTGTCTTTCATGTGTTCAGGAGCATTTACGCTATGTGCACGCTGTGTGTGTGTGTGTGTGCGTGTGTGTGTGTGTGTGTGTGTGTGTGTGCGTGTGTGTGTGTGCGTGCGTGCGTATGTGCATCGCAGCCACGCATCCTGATCAGTGCTATCATCTGCTCCATCGCCGTGTATGTGATGGTGCACCTTTGAAGGAGCAGCATGTGGGATCTTTGCTCTAAAAAAGTCATGGTAGAATCTAGAGGGTTTGGATCTACAAACAAAAGTATTATGTTGCATAAAAACTCAAAACTGAATATCCAACTATGTTTGAGCCAAGCTGACACAGACAGCAGCTGCGTGCCCGCTGTTGATGCTTTTGCCGTGATATCTGCGGCAGAATGGGATCACAAAGAAGAGTGGTGTATTTTCCGAATGTTTTGTCCGTTACAAAAATGTCATGTCTGAGTAAAAAAAAAAATAAAAATGCCACATATTGCATAAAAGTGGGCAATAATGGGTCCTCCTTTGATCAAAGCAACTGCCTGGCACGGGGTTGGCACAGAGGCAGTAAAGAGCTTGGATGTTCTCTGTTGCCCATCCAGATGTCACACGCCTTGAAACTCTCAGGAGTTAAGCTGCTATGTTCGGTCCTCTAACATGAGGAAATGCTCAAACATAGTTGGATTGAAATGCAACAATGCCACAGACTGCTAATAAGGATACTGGAGAGGAACCAGTGTTCTTTATGCCAGCCTGTGTGCAACATGAGAGTGTATTTTGCACGTTTAGGCACAGATAGATCCAAATCAATCTGTGATGGAGCAGAGGAGGATTGAGGTGGTAGCCTTGTATTCCTAATACATAAACTTCATGCAAATATGTCGTTGGATTTATACATAATTCAACACGTAATTATTTTGTCTTCATAAACATAATCGGTTTGTACTTATTTTTCTAGACAAGAACCAAGTGTAAAGTACTATGGGAGATACAAATACTCTATCTTTAATTTCAATTACCTATCAAAGGATTTTGTGTTTTGTTTATTTCATATCGTACTAAAACAAAATATTTTTTTATCCGCCATGCCCCCTCTTTAAGAAAACTGCATCACTCTGGAGCCAGTGAAGCTCAGACTAACTTGCATTGTGAAACCACCATCTTCAGCCTGGCAGCTCAGCTCTGTTGAGTGCTTGTAGAAATAGATTACGGCTCATCTGTTTTAGTTGCACAGATGAGCCGTAATCTACTAAATAATGCGTCTACTGCTAAGCATCCCTAGCTGCAAATATGTAGATGGAAAGATGAGTAAAAAGGAACTATATATTGGGGGTTAAATGTTGTAGTTTAGATGGAGAGCAGATCAGAGTGGTATTAATACCGGGAAGATCTTAGTCACTCCCTCTGTGTGCAGGCCAGAACTGAATGACTTTCATTAGATGCGTTTGACCTAAATTAGGTTCCTAGTTTGGAGAAAGAGTGTGTACACTGTTGAAAACAAAATACAACAGGGAGACACTGTCTGTGTATTGCAGTGATTCTCTTTTATTGGCTCGAAAGGAAAAGTAATTCTCAAAAAAATAAGATATTTAATATGGAAAAACAACATAACATTGTGCTAAATACGTTTGTGTAAATTCAACCCATTATATACGTAAACCACATTTCTTTTTCAAACAAAATGATCTGAGCTTTAATGTCCGTCTATTAGGTGTGGTGCAACTGTACTGAAGCCTCACACATTGTCCTGAAGTGAACTTTTGAACTGTGATTACATTGTTGTCACACTTTGTAGCAAATAGATTTCTTTTCAGAAGATATGTGAGTAAAATGTATGTATAATTGGGTTTTTAATGGCATACATGCTAGCCTGAACAATAAGGAACTATTAATATTTGATAATGGCAGTGACTCATTACACATAAAATCGACAAACTGATTGTTATGTTGAAAAAAAAAAAAAGACAAATGTGTATTTTGAAAATGAATGATCTTGGATTCAAGTGGGAAATGTCAGGCGGAACTTGATCTGGTTTATCAGCCATCACAATGATGGAAGGTAGCTCCAATTTGAGCGGAGGTGATCAAAAGAGACAACATCCTTAATTTTTCTTTTTTTTTTATTACTTTGTGTTATTACAGGGTTTACATTCCATTTTGTCAGCTTGTCATCTGTCACAACTGCTTATTATTTGTTTACAGAGTATTTTATGAGCTACTTAAACATAGAATTGTTCAGAAATAAAACGGTACATATTGCAAACTTGCATTCACATAAACTCACAAAGCAATGCTCCATTTGTTTTCATCACACTTGATTACTGTGCTTTTTCTACCTGAACCCTCATTGTGCGACTCATTCAGGCTGGCATTATTCACAGTGGACTGAGATGTCTCTCATTCCTACACCTTGTCATATGTCTATTAGATGTTTTAGGTCTTTGCATTGTATACCTCTAAAGTTTTAGAGTGTTTTTTTTGAAGTGCCATGAAGAGTTTTGTTGAGCCAGCATCCTTCAGTCATTCAGGGACATAGGCTCGCTTTGAGGGAGCTAAGTCCAAGTGTTTTCCACTGTGAGAATGGTGTCTTGTACTGGCATGGAGAACATCCAAGCCATCAATGCCTCCATGCCAGTATAATCCCATGCAGTGTAGGTGGTCAATTGGAGGGCCCATATTAAGTCCCACTATAGCGAAAAGTGGCATTCAGGAGGCCTGAGGGGCAGACAGATGGGAGCCCCAGTCATCAAACCACACATGAAGTCTCTAATGTGTGCTTGGTTACAGGCTATCTATTTGTGTTATGTAGTGTTATTAGTTATGGATGACTGAAAGATGCACGTAGAGGCACATGCCTGTAAAGTCAGATGTGTTGTTGTCCACTGAACAAATCAAAGACTATGATGCGTCATACGTAACTGTTACAGTATGTTGCATTATTCTTGTTTATCTATTTTTTGCTGTAAAGGATGGACAGATAAATTATTTGCTGGGAAATGTAATAGATATCATAGAACATATAATACTTGTGGGGATGGGAGGTGGGGTCTCAAGTCTTAACAATACATTAAAATTGTGTTCAGCAATTTTTTTTTTTGAGAAAAGTAACAATATTGTTAATTTCTTTTGGCTGCCTATCAGTTCAGGAAGAATCAGGACATTGCTCTTGCGTATCACAGAAAGGATTTGTTGGCACATTGTCATTGCAGCAAACAGGAGTTTGACATAGCTGTCTAATTAGTTTGGATGCATTCTAGATATGATGGATACATTGATTATTTGATGGTGCCGAGTTGATCTACCTGACTCTGTCAAATATAATCTGCTGATAAATCTACTGTCTTGTACAAAAAGTTTGTACATAGATTGTACATGGTTTCTTTTTGTATTTTCTCAAATTAAAATGGATGTATTTGTGTTCTAAACCTCTTTATTATTTCAACTACAAAGAAATGTTTCCTCTATTATTGTACTACCTCAGTCACCTTCCACCACTCTAGACTAGGCATATTTACTTAATTACTGTACAAATTCTAGGTATGAGTATTTTACTTTTTTACTTAACGTCTTTGATTTGATGTTATTTATATGATATTATATTTCCCATTTTAAAGGGAAATATAATTATTTTTAGACTACTAAAATGATTTTATGGCTAAAGCTTATAGTTACTTTGCAGACTAAGATGCCTCATGAAAAAAATACCATTAACTTCTTACTGTCTTAGTTTCATTTTTATAAATTAAACTACCCTCGATTATGTGAGGTAGTTGTGTCATTAAAGAGGCCATTAGAAACATCATAGGCTATCCTAAGTAAAACAATATGGCTTACAAAAATATAGTATGTCCTAAAAATGTCATTGTATTGTATATTACAAAAATGTCATAAAAATATCTTAGTATAGTAAATGTCATAGTATTGTACATCAAAAAAGATGCCATAAAAAAGTCATACTATAGTATGTCCTAAAAACATACGTCATTAAAAAGCCATAGCATATTATGAAATGTCATACATTTTACACAGTATGTCATGAAAAATGTATTGAATGTCAAAAAAAAGTCATGGTAAAGTTTGTCAAGAACAAAAATTGTAGGTCAAAAAAAGTCATACAGAATTCATAGTATAGCATGTCATAATAAGTAACAAAAAAGTAATAGTATAGTATGGCGAGAGAAGTCATTGCACATACATTAAAGTATGTGCAAAAATTCTTAAATAAGTTTAACAAAATAAATAAAAAAGTCACGGTTTAGTGTGTTGAAAAAAGTCATATGTATCGATGTCAAACAAAATCATAAAAAAGTCATTGTATGATATGTCCAAAAAGTTATATTAAAGTATGTCGAAATAAGTCAGAAAAAGTAATTGTATCGCATGTCGAATAAAAGTAAAAAAAAGTCATAATTTATTATGTTGAAAAAGTCATTAAAGTAATTTTATAGCATGTCAAAAAAAGTTGTAGTATAGTATGTAAAAAAGTCCTAAAAAAGTCAAGGTATGTTATGTAGTAAAAAGGCTAAAAAAAGTCATAGGAAAGCATGTCGAAAAAAGTCGCAGTATTGTACAGTAAAACAGTAAAACGGTAAAATTGCCTGACCTTGACTACCACCAGGGGAAGCCTAAGATAAATGTTGTATTTTACCAATCCCCACCATGTGGACTGGTCAGTGACCCCGCGACCCAAGTCGCATCGCCAATCCGCTCATCCATTGACATTAGTCTTGATTTACGTTTACTGACATGCTATTAGCTGCTCCGTCACTTTCACCAGTCAGACTGTCAATCAACAGGGATCCACAGTAATGGGAAGGAATAGCATCGGAATCACATTCTGTCCACATTGGCTCGTAAATCTCCACGGATGAGCAAAGGACATCACACCAGGTATCTCGCTGTGCTGCCAAGTCGGGGCTGTGGACGTTTGGGCATCACATCGGGACGTGTAGCATCTTAATGTGGGTTGGCTTTAGAGATACAGTTATTCTAAAGGGGCAAACTATATATTGAGAAAGTAATCCCCTGGGGGAGCTTCAACATGTCTAAGCAATGCCTGGCAGTGATAAGCATTAAACAGTACCAAAGTAAGCACATTTTTAACCTTTATGTAACGCAACAATTTTTCAAGTGAAATAATCGGCTTCCAGAGACACTGTGTCGCCTGTGTCAAGGGTACTGAGACATCTCCAGAGAATCCTTCAAACATCATGCGCAGCACCAATTCTGAGGTGTTATGATGAGGGACGGCCGACTTCTCAGACAGTGAACCAGTCCTCTCTCATAGCTCGAAATCAGTGGACATCTCGTAAGTCTCTGGGCCCGTCCTGCCCGCTCCTCCTCCTCCTCCTCCTCCTCCTCCTCCTCCTCCTCCTCCTCCTACAGGCCCCTCAGCCGAAGTGTGCAATTTCACACTCCAGCGTCAAACAGCCGGTCAGAAGGAGAATGCATGACCCACCCTGGCATTTGTCCTCATTTCTCTCTCAAATGTGCAAACACTATTACCCTTGGGTTATCTTAAGTGGCGAGGTGAAGATTCGCAACCTCTTCTCTTCTCTTCGCCAGACACGCCATCAAAACACGACAAGCGGCGGGGACGGAATGGGGGTAAAAGACGGAGAAAGGCAGAGGGGGGGAAAGCGATGGAAATGGAGCAGATGTTTTTGTGGCTGTTGATTTGTGGCCTGATAAAGGGTGCTGGAATTGATGGCTTGTTAGTGAGGACGGGCCCCTGTGTGAGTTGTTTTCAAAATGATTGATTTACAATAAAGTGGCTCCGGGTGTGTGCATGCAGGCAGAACTGATGCAGATCGATCCCGCTGAAATTGATTGATCAGCCATTTAGCTTGGCAGTGTGTTTACCAAACGAAACTGAGCAGGACTCTCCTCTCGGCACCGCTCCCCCCATAAAGCAAAGGAGAAATGCCACCTCTGGGCCTGTCTCATTGCTTTAACAGTGGCAGCAAAAACAAGCCATATCAGAATATGAACCATAAAAATGTAATCATACAGTGAGGAACACTGGCATAAACGTTTATGATTGTGTACTTTATTCTGCTATCAACGTGTCCTTCTGTGACTTGTAGATACTATGCTTTTAAAAGTAATGACTTGCGTGCTCTATGCAAGGAAAGGAATACGGTTTGCCTTATCACAGTGTCACATTGAGACTTTCAGAGGGAGGCATAGAAATAACTAATAACAGTGGATTTCAGTAAACAAGCAGCTCGTTCTCAGCCTCTTAAAGCTGACACACCAACAACCTTTACCTGTTTTAATATTGTTAAGATGACTATCATACATCATGTAGAATAGCCCTCGAGTGTTAAAGTGCCTCGTCTATGGACGGTGTCTTTAGCAATTTTTCCAAACAGTGCATACAAGGGTCTCTGTGTACATTTTATAAGGGGTAGTATTAATGGATAAAGCACAAGGACAATGTTTACCATGTGACCTCTGTGACTTTTCCTAACTTCCTCCCTGCCAAAACAAACCTCTTCACCCTTCTGGTAAGGACTTAAATCACCTGTCCGCAGATGCCTCATCCTGTTATTTGGATAATTGCCAACAAGAGCAGGCTTTTCCATTCTCACGACAGCATGCAGTGGCCCCATCATGTTCCTTATTAACAATTTTACACACTTGGTCGCAGCAAGAGGGTGTCAGAATGCCAATAATATTTACCGTCTGCTGTGCGGGGCTATTCAGGGGAGGCTGAGTGTTGCTGATTGCCCTGACAGAAGCTGACAGCGCCCTGAACCTGAGATCCCTGCAAATCGACTCAGCAGAGTGTCTTCTTCTTAAGGCAACAGGCTGTGCCTGTGACCATGAACCAGGTGATGGAGCACAACACCGTTCGTGTGCTAGTGTCTGAACACAAACAAAGGCAATCTTTCTCTTCATCTTTAAACATGCACTGGCTGATAGAAGATCATAATTCATATGGAGAAAAAAAATCAATTCTACACAGCCTCTAAGATAAGGCCTGACATCAGATCAAGATAAAGAAATACAAACGGACTTGTTCTAGAAGCTTAAAAAAAAAATGTGTTTTTAAATTTTTCACATTGGGAATAAACTGTCCCTTTTAGATGTCATTATGCGTCATTTAGTAAATCAATGAGCTACAACGTTTAATGTAATTTTCCTAAAACTGGGAGGCAGGTAAATAAAACGATTGTCTTGGGATTATTGAGCCTTCTCAGTCAATCCATCCAGTCCGTAATGATTTCCATAACATTGATGTAAAAGATGTTGACACCAATTATAGCATTTCCCTTTGACCCCTGACGATTTCGACTGGGAGTGTTAAACATCACACTCAAGCACACACACACATGTACATTATGTGGCACGCACACGCACATGTCACACACATCTGGCTACCTCAAACATATCGTATCAATATATATGTGGCTGCATGTGTGTACAAGAGACAGTGTGTTTGTGCGTGTGACAGAGACGGAGAGAGACGGATCCATCCCAGTTCAGCCGTGATAATAGTTTCCATGACAATGAGGCATGCTCAGCGCATCACTTGTGGCCCAGATAAACAGTGATCCTTTACGCAAACAAGAAGGTCATTACAGCAGCTTGTCAAATCAATGCCCAGTGTGTCCAAGTTGATTAAGACATCTCCCCTCAGCTCTGACACTCTGTCAATAGCAGTACGGGCACAATGCAGTGGTGGGTTTGGGGGTGGGGGTGTCTGTGGTGGAGAGAGGAGGGAGGATTTACTCCTGTTCTTTCCACACACACACATACACACACCGACGCACAAACGCGCACGGTACTCAGATGATTGGAGTGAAATACCCATCAGTCAGGGAGCCGAGGTGGACTAATGATTCCCTGTGCTGCCTATTAGAACTACATGACAACTCAATCCTGCTCACGGAAAGAGAATTGGAGGAGAGGGGGAGATGGGAAGGGAGGGGGTTTGGTCAAAGAGGGAGCGAATAAAGAGACAGAGGAAGAGAAGAAGAAAAGAAAAAGTGACCTTGTAGCAGCGTCATTTGAGGCTGAATTAAATTGGCAAGGGCAGTTAATCTTTACCTGGGGGCGATTAACCGAATTAAAGGAGAACAACAAAGGCGCAGAGGTTGCCTTTATTCTTTTTTTTCTGCCTGCCACTGCCATTTGCAATTTGTTTTCCTCTGGAAAAGTTGGCGAGTCTTCCTCTCTAAGCCCCTCACTGATGTTTGGTTGGATTTTCTATCTGACACACAAGCAATAGCAGGCTGTCATTGTAACTGGTGCTATATCATGAAATCAAGATTATGTTCTCAAATCAGGCAGCTTGGGTTGCCATGTTGCAAATCACTGCTGACAATACGGGGACATTCATGTCATTATTTGGTCAAAACAAGAACATGTCTGCTCTGCCATCTTCAAACTCATGCACAACAACTTCTTCAAAAATACA